CCTAATTAGTGATATAGGATTTCTATTTTGAAAAGGAAAAGGTAGTTATTCTACACTAGTGTATATAAAGCCTATATTTCACATAATTTGGGAGATAAAGGGAACCGTATCTTGAAGATTGAAGACTTTTCGACAAAGACTTTTATTCATGACTTTTGTTTATTCTTTCTATTTTGTTATTCCTTTTAGTTTTATTATGTCTTTCTAAACTCTTGGATTGAGGGTTCATGAAGCCTATGTTTAATGATTAATTTTCAAAATATGATTTTGCATCTTGCAGCCACGACATCTCGAGATGGTTCATCACCCTCTCCCGAGAAAACTCAGCGATTCTTTGCTCTCTCACCTCGACTTCCCAGAGCAAGACGCCCCTTGAGTTCCATTATCTCTCTTTCAGCACCTTGGAATCGAGACTGACTCGCCCCATGACCCGAAAAGACGGAATGAGCCTCTTGGTGAAGCAGCATCATCAGGGAGAATCTACAAAAGGCAAAGCAAAGGTAAGTCAGTTAGTTGCCCCCGCGAAGGACAAAGAAAGTTAAGGAAACACCCACCTGAGTCTGGTCATGAGCCGCTTTTTGTAGCAAAGCTGCCAGTGGAAGTCCCCGAATGAGGGCCTAGGATTCCTCCGAGGCACCCGCAATAAGAGCGTGTATAGGAATGCTGAGATGGTTTGCAAACTACCCAACCGTTTCCTCAAGACCCGCCCTCGCTGGAACCGACCAATACCTACCTCACCATGGAGGACGGGGGAAACACCATCTTTCTCCTCTTCCACAAAAGGCTCAGCATCGGAGCTTTCCCACGGTTGTCAACAACCCTTATCTCACAAACGCCTAACCTATTGAAGGAAGGGCCCATAACAAGGACAGGAGAATCATGCCTCGCTCGTTCACCATGAACTATGGGGTAGAGTTCTACAGTATCTAGGCCCAAAGCACGGCGACTCTATGACCCACGCGAAACAAAGCAAGGCCCTCCAAGGGCGTCGCTTTGGCTGGTGCGCCACTCACTGACTCCATCAGACAACGACGATTCGGTACTCATTCTTTAGAATGAAGGCAACAATGGAAGCCGGCAAGAGACTTGAAATTTCTTTGAGATAGTGCAAAGAAAGCAAATGAAAATAAGATGTGAGACAAGCGAAGGAAGCAATTTATAGAGTCAGAAGAATGCATGAACAGTAACTTACAGTTCCCAACGTATGTATGGTAGAAAAGAACTAGCATTAAATGCGTCGTCGAAACATTTGGTGAGCATCACCCACAAGCTAAAGGAGTAGTGCACTCATACAACTGTCAGACATGATAGGACCTTTGTGGAATCTATTTCACAGGCTCGAGTTTGCAACAAAGAAGTTTTCAAAGCCCGCAACAACCTTCAAAAACTGGGGGGTAGGTGTTGTGTGGAAATGAAAATCCGGCTCGAGCTCGCAATAAGCACAATGATCTTAGCCCGGATACCACGCTTAATGAACCAAGCAAAAACACCCATCTAGGACACATGTCAACTCGAGATGAACAAGCCAGGTGTCGACTGGGCCACGCTTAACGCAACACCTAATAAGCTTGCCAAGCTGCATGAGCTCCACGTGCAATACATGTAGCTGCTTCATCTAAACTAGTAACGACTTTCTAACAAACTCTGGTTAATTACAGTTGTAGCTGAGATTAAGTGTAATAATGTTTTGACGCCCTCAATCACCCAAAATGTGTTAGGGGAGACAACCATTATTTCACTAACGCAATCTTCCACTAACCACAGCCATCGCGACTCCTATAAATACCCATTGACAATCCCCAAAAAGGGGGGGCGAAAGTGGGGAGGGATCAGAGAGAGATATAAAGCTAAATTTCTATAAACTTTATATAAGAAGTCCCTGTAATCATCCGCTTTGAAAAAAGAATTGTGGACGTAGGTCTAATTTCATTGCTCGGCCGAACTACTTTGAAAAGCTCGCTTCTCTGTTTTTATTATTTGCATAACCCTCTCACGGCTCCACTCTCATTCTAATCACTCATGCCCATTTTTGCTGATTCCCAGGAATCATGCACCCGTCTTACTCGGTTCTCCTAGAGTCAACCAAGTACCTCTAGTTGACGTGTGTCTTTGTCTCGACATTTTAGCCGACGCGGAAATTTGCATCAACAAAAAAAAATATATATATATGAACCAAAAGTAAAGCATATGCCAAAAGAACCAAAAGAGAACAAGTAGAAATATGGGGACCAAAAAAAATAAGATAGGACCTAATGAGATAATGTAGAGGAGTGGCCTGTGACTTGCATGCTTCTTTGGTAATTTAAAAAAATCGACTTTGACTGATTGGATATTGAATAACAGAGGTAAAGCAATGGATTTCCAATAATATATTAACATAAAGTCGATAAATTACCAAAAAGAGTGAGTTTGGTTTTGTTGAAATTATGGTGCGACAAGTGGTGGTTATTGTGGTGGCTATTGATCTAAGATAACAGGTTATTGCGGTGGCTACTGATTTTAGATTACAGGCTACTGTGGTGGTTATTGATTTGAGATGGCGGAAGACTAAAACTGAACTGAATTTTGGTATGGCTCTGATACTATGTAACAGAAATAAAAAATAATTTGTTTTATTGAATTAATATCGATTGTACAGAATATGCCTATTTATATAGGTTATACGGATCTTCCAATTTGGTATAGTTTCAACTCCACATTGTAATTTAATATACTAGCTAGTATTATAATGTAGTAACACAATATCAAGTATACATGATAACCTGATATACTTGCTAATATGGTAAGATAATAAATTGTATAATCATGATGATACGGTAACATAATATACAGTTAACATGTTTTTCACTTGACATGCCCCAAATGGAGCTATAGTCTCAGATCTATTTATTTTTTTTCAATTTATTTTAGAGCATATGACATATTCCCCGTCCAAGGTTTAGCGAAATCTCAAGTTGATACTCTTGGTTGCATTTATTCTAGAATTTCACCCTTAAAGTAATGTTGTTTCCTTTATTTTAACAGATTCCCAACTTTTCACTATAGCACAGCGTACGTTTGCATGCTAAAGTGTGTCGACGATTTCTTTGGCTAAGAAGGGCTCATGTTAGCAAAAGGTGACTCACGTTAGCAGCATCCAAGCCAACAGAATTTGGTTTTTTCGACCAATTCTGAAGTCCAAAATCACTTCTGAGCCACCGTTCGACTCCTTACAACATTCTCTACAAAACTTGTATCTTCACTTGTTGACCCCATTCATCATTTTCGATCACCTTCAACAGTCACTAACAATGTTAGTTTGAGGATGAGAATCTGGAATAAATGCAACCAAGGATATCAACTTGGGATTTCCCTAAACCTCGAGTGGGAATATGTCATTTATTCCTTATTTTATGTCAAATTACATTGAATTTACATTCTTTCTTAATATTAAAGTACATTGCTTTTTAAATATATTTCTTTCATTTGTATACTAAGTAAATTATATGTTTCCTTCCATTTTTCAATTTTTTGTCATATTTATTGTCTTAACCACCATTTAAATTCTTTGCATATATCAATTTTCCTAAATAACATATTTGCCTATATTATATGCCTTAATTACTAAATTTGATACCTCTTTAATGACAATGCTGATAAATGCTTTTATGATTTATAATCTTCTTGTAATATATTCTTGTTCTTTTTTTCAATATTTTATTTTTCTTATGAAATGTTTGAGTAATTCAAATTGATAATTGGGTAGGTTCCAATCTAGTTGGGATGTACTCAATTATATACTAAGTTGAATTAATTATTAATGTTCCCTTACATCTTTAATTTTTTGTCATATCAACTGCCACAACCATTATTTAAATTAGTTATCTATATCAATTTTTTAAAATACTATTTAATTTATTTGTCTATTTAAATGTCCTAGCGACCAAATTTTATGTAACTTGCCAATTTAGTAAATTAAAATTTTCTATTATTATTTATTTTAGTATCTTATCCCCAACTTATTTATTTTTTATTATTATTTATTTTGCTTATAAGCTAAAAAAAATTATAAATAAATAGGTCAACCTAATTTTAGAACTTATAAGCTGGTTTGATCAGCTTATAAACTTAAACAAACATCTCTTAGTTGGTATATCTAAATTGAATTAATCATACCTTACAACTTTAAATTTTTTTGTCAAATCAATTGTCCTAACCACCATTAAAAATATTTTTTCCTCTGCATAAATTTTCTTATATGCCATTTAATGTTTTTCCTCTATTAAATATCTTAATTACATAATTTGGTATATCTCTTTAATGGCAGTGCTAATCAATGCTTTTGTAATTTATAATTCTTCTTCTTTTTTTTTTTTTTTTCCAACATTTTCTTTCTTTCCTTCTTGTAATATTGTTTTTTTTTTTTTTTTCCTTTTTTTTTTTCTTTATATTTAATTTTCCTGCATCAGAGTATGCAAATGATTAACAATTGATGAGCTGGTTTTTGATCTAGTTGAGATGCACTCAAATTATAACTCTCACCTAATTATTTGTATATCTACTTCAAATTTAATAAAAATTAGTAATCTTAATACTTATGGGTATATTTTTTTTCTTTTGTATGATTATCTTTAAAAAAATCATTTTAATAAAGGAAAAGGGTTCAATAATTATCAGTTGGAAACAATATACTTGTACTAAAAATGAAAAGGTAAAATTTTAATGTAATTATTTTCTTGATAAATAAAAAAAATCTAATGCAAGACTACAAGTAGATGCGTACTAACCTAAGTAAGCCCATTCGTATCAAGTTTTGTGCTAGTCTATTCGTGTTTGGGCTTCGGTCCATGACGGCCCATTTCTGCAGTGCCTATTGGGCTGTGATACCTAATACGTAATGCTGGGTCCTGAATTTCATAACTGTGCTTGGGTCGCCTTGATAGGGCTTCGGTCCAGCCCTATCAAGGCAAGTTGGGCTATAAAAAGGTGAAGCACCTTTGTTTCCTTTCGGTTCTCCATCCATGGAGTTTCCTACTTATCAATATCAGCCATCTCCCTGGCACTACCTCCTCACCTCTCCAGCCATATTTTCTTATCCCATCATCCCTCAAAACTATGTTCACTGGACACAGACACCGGAGTCTCACATTTTCTCTGCTGACCTTCCTGGTACTTAAACTTTGTTTCTTTTTATATATCTTATGTAATATATGTAGTTTTGTTGTTTAAATTTGGTATTAAATGTTATAGGTGTGAGGAAAGAAGAGATAAAAGTGGAAGTTGAAGACTCAATATACCTGATAATTCGAACAGAGGCCATTGATGAGTCAAGGTGCCCGTTCATGAGAAAATTTCGGCTTCCGGGTATGGTTAATATTGATGGAATAACAGCTTCTTATGAAGATGGTGTTTTGAGAGTTAGTGTCCCAAGAAGGGGTTTCTTTATTCATCCAGCTGATGTCCCTCAAAACACTTGAACTTCTTGCAAGAGCTGCTTAATTACCTATCATTATAAAGTTTTTTAGTTTACTCGTTTTCCTTTAAATCCGTCAAGTGGATAAAATTTTATGTTTAATTGAATATATGCATTCTAAGGACAATTCCTAACTTCTAACTACTGCTAACTAAATTTACGATTTCCTTTTTTATTTATGAAATATCATAGATTTTTTTTTTTATTATATTTGTCGTGATTGATAATTATATGTATGATATTTTGAAAAGGAAGCAAGAGATTCTCACAACAGTTTGTCTTTATATAAAATAAAATTGTCCACTAATGCAGTATATAAAAAGATTGAGAAAGAGAAGGATGCAGAATTTGTGAAAAGGAAGAAAAATATAAAAAAGAGAGGAGAATGGTGATTACATAAATGTTATCAAAATTAGGGTAGTTGGACTGGGTAGATATTTTTGGTTGCTGATTCTAATTCTTTGCAACTGAGAAGATAATATGGTTATATGGCATGTGCACCACAGCCTTTGGTACCACCGCACTCTGAAAAAAATATTCTCTGTTAGAGGCATTGCATCCACTAGTTCAACCAGTTCATTTAATCACAATTATTAAATGAGTAAACAACATGTTCCCACCCGAGGTTTAACGAAATCCAGAAGTAATACCACTGGTTTTATTTATTCCAGATTGCCACCATTAAACTAACAGTGTTAGTCACTGTTGGATTCAGAAGAGGGCAATTACCAAACTACCCTCCCATCTTCGTCTTCTTCTTCATCTCCCCCTTCTTCTCTTCTGCCGCTTCTCTCTCCCTCCCACAGCCACAACACAACCACAACCACGCTCCTCTCTCCCTCCCGAAACCCCAAAGTCACCACCACCACCACCCACCGCCATTCCACCCATCTACCGCCATTGCAATCCCTCACCACCACCCGATCTTTGTCTTCTTCTTCTTCTCCCCCTTCTTCTCTTCTGCCGCTTCTCTCTCCCTCCCACAGCCACAGCCGTAGCCATAACCACGCTCCTCTCTGCCTCCCGAAACCCCAAAGTCACCACCACCACCACCATTCCACCCATCTACCGCCATTGCAATCCCTCACCACCACCCGATTTCGGTCCCATTTGGCTCGATCTCGGCTTTGTTGGCCGTCCTCATCATCACCACAAACACCACCACCCTTCCACCTCCAAAACCTCCATTTTCCCCGACAGTGGTAGAGGGGAAGCAGTTGGTGGAGAGAAGAGAAGAAGAAAGAGAGAAGAAAAAGAGGAGAAGAAAAAGAAGAAGAGGAAGAATCTGGTGGAGAGAAGAGAAGAAGAAAGAGAGAAGAAAAAGAGAAAGAATCTGTAAGAGAGGAGAAGAAGAAAAAGAAAAAGAAAAAGAAAAGGAAAAGAGGAGAAGAAGAAGGAAAGCAGTCAACGGTGGTGTGTTGAGAGAAATGGGTTTTGACACTTTTACCCTTAACCTTTTAAAATAAAACAAACAGTGTTAGATTAAGGGTGGGTATCTGGAATAAATCAAACCAATGGTATTAACCTTGGATTTCGGTAAACCTTAGGTGGGAACATGTCGTTTGCTCTTATTAAATATTGCAAGTTGACTTTACCCATTATTGCCTTTGCGGGTAATATAAGAATTAAGAAATTAATTCAAATGAAGTAAAAAATAAGAAAAAAATAAGAGTAATATTACACTAATAATTTTTTTTTATAAACTTTTTTATAATTTTAATGTGATAATTCATAATTGGTTAACTTGTAATTAATTAATAAAATTTATATAAAACGTATTATAAAATGATTAATTATGATCTGTGGAAGATTATAAAAAAAAGTTTGTAACAAAAAAAATTGTTGGTATAGATTGAAAAAATAAACATTATATGTCATGTCAGTTTGCAGGTTCTTTGAAAATAATTTTTTATTGCTCAAAAGTACACACATCATAACGTCCACTAACTTAGTGATGCATGCTCAACATGCAAAGTTGATATCCAAACTCGGCATTCCCCCAAACAAATGTCTCTTATAATACGATAAATTAACTAAATAGAACTCATTTTCGAAAGCTAATTCAAGCAAAAGAGAGCTCAACCAAATATATACTCTATAATATCCAACTATCTTGACGACATGGGACAAATGACAATGCAACTTCTAAGAAATATAAGTTAATAAACTGCATTTACATAACCCCAATACAGAAAACCACGTCTTACACGCTATGATTCTGAATTCTGATGGCAACAGAATATTCAAATCCTCAATGTCAAAGTTTGTCAACTCCATTGAGCCTGCAATTCAATGAGGTTATGAAAATATATACAAGCCATACATTTTCTTACTTTACACATTCCTCAGCTCAACTTTTAGCCATGTTTCATAAGTTTCAGAAGTTTCATTAGTTCAACAGCCTCGTTCAATCTCCTTTCCAAGTTCTCTCTCACTGACTGGCTCCGAGGATTTCTGCATACAAAAATTGTTGACATATTACTCAATTTTTAACATCAATCTTGATTATAATTACACAAGTAGAAATTCAAGAACATCTGACCTTCTCTCCATTTTTGCCTTCCTTGTTAGTTCCTCAACAAGAGTGTTTAATCTCTTAACATGGCGGCATAACTTGCATATGGCTTCAACACCTTTATGATTTGAGCATATCTTCTTCAAAATCTCACAAGCAATGAAATATCCCTCGTCCTTATTCCTGAAAAGTTTTATTAAGGAGAGAAGTCAGATTAACAAATGATTAAAAGCTTGATGGTTTTTTGTTAAATTCTATCAAAATTATGATTTGTGAAGAAACCTTAACATCTCCCAGAGAATTGTTTCTACAGATCCTTGACTGTCAATTAGTGCTTCGATCAAATGTGGATGACAGGCAAGGTTTCTGAGAGTTGACAGTGCATGCTTTAAAACTTCCTGATCAGGTATGCTTCGACTGACTGAGCGAATAAGCTCCAGTAATGTATCAATAGCCCCTGCAGCCACCAGCTTTTCACAACATTTCTGAGAATGTTGTGTTGTCATATCTGCCAACGAAAAGTTTGAAGCATAGAACATAATGTCAGGGGTTCAATAAAAGCATCATAGCTTATTACTCCACATAGTGAGCATACTGCATATCTTCCATAGTCACAAGATTAGTGAAAGCAATTTTATTAAATACGACAAACTATAGTATAACTCACCTAAAGTTGCACAAGTATGAAGAATGCCACTGACACTTTTCATGTTCAGTAGTTCTGAAAGTGCTGACACAAGTCTGTTAATAATGCGCATTCCATCATCAACATTTGTGGCAGACTTCTGGACTCTCAAGCGCAAATCCAGCATTTGCCTACTTGATTCTTTTCGAGTAAGGTAACCTTTCCAATAAGACTTAACAAATTCATAAAAGTTAGAAAGAAATAAAGAATACCAAGTGATGCCATTTTGCATAGTAAGATGCAACATTGAAAAGAATGCTATAAGCAATACTACTTTTTACGCTTACTAAATTCAAACATTTCCTAGGAAAAGATATATAAATAAGGGGTTAAGGTTTTTAAACCAAAAATTCAATATTTATCATTAATCATTCATCAAAGTTTATCTAGAGGTTTTGCATTGACAATAATAGATGTTAATTTTTTTTTTTTAATTTTAACTCTTAAATATTGGACCAAAATATAAAAAAGCGGGAGTTATATCTCATCTTAAATTATATAACTCAAAACCAAAAGATCTCAATCTATGTTAAAAGAACTATTTAAATCTTACAATTGAAATCGTGAAAATCATGAAAGCTAGCATGTTTATCTAGGTGCTCACCTAAAAGCAGTAGTTTAGACTACGATACCTTATTTTGTTTGCAATACTATTCTTGATGGAAAAGATTGGAAAAAGTTCACTCTACGATTATACAAAAATGAAATAGGCAAATGCAAGATTTATTGGTAGTGAACATATTCAAGACGGTTCACCTCATTTTACTATGATGTTCTAAAGCACAAAAGAAGATGAAAATCTTACTTGAATCACAACAACACGATGCTTCTCTCTAGAGACCTTTTTCCTTGCTGCCCACCCTCGAATATGTGATTGGATAATGATAACTGACGTTGCTTTTGATAGCAAAACATGCCTCCACCACCTCTGCAGTTTTAAAACAGATGATAGAACTATTCCTAATTCAAAACTCTGGAAGCAGTCTGTTAAGGTATTACAGTTGCTACCAATAGTGGTTGCACGATAGCAAGAAGCTCCTACAAAGATAGATAGTTATCACGAAGTCACAACTTAAGCAACAAATCAGATATGCATATAAAAGCCTTTTCTAAAATAGATAAAGTTGTCTTAAACTTGGAAGGAAATTGCAAGACTACCTAGGAGCCTTCTTCGAGTAATCTGCCCTCTAACAAATCGTTGAACTTCAATGGCAGCTGTTTTATTAAAATGAAAAGCTCCCTTGCATATTAGGCATCTAATGGCACTTTGGATCTTTATGACAGCCCTTCTTTGAAACAGTAAGTCCCTCCTTATCAGCCACCCACGGAAATGTCTCTAAACTCAAGCACAAAATAATTATTCTCAACATAGCCAACAAATGATTGTATGAGAAAGGCGTTCCAAATATAAAGAGAGAGACACAGAAACATTTTATAACAGCACCTGTAAGAACCCATCCTGAAATATAGATTGTATATTATGTAGGTTTTGGCAAGTAACACATAAATTCCGAATGCAAGCGAAATGATATAGCACAGAAACCAATAGTTCATATCAAATACCTGGAAACTAGCCTTTATACCGAGCCATTTTAGGTCTAACAAAATCATAAGTAGAAAAGACTTCAAACAATGGCTAATATTCTGTGTAAAAAGATAACATAATAATGAACTATGAATAGAAGACTTGAACGCGTTCATAGTTCGAGATAAAGATCAAATTCTTGATTTAAATGTTATAACACAGTAAGAAAATGAGTGACTATGTGGTTAAATATAACAGTGTATTCAAAGAGGAGAAATATCAGTAACTAGAACAATAGGCCATTTAAAAAAGATGATAGTAAAAAATAGCG